ACTCCTATGAACAGCTTTTGAAAATTCAAATGCATTTCTTTATAATTGTTCTCCACAAAGTGATGATTCTCTAAATAAGGTGAGTAAAAATTACATTTCTTTTTTTATTAAGTTTTATTAATTTTAATGAACATTTACAGAGATTTTGGGTTTTCATTCATTCATTGTTGCACTGATTTCTCTACCCTCCCCCCAGTTCGTTCTTCTTTTTTTCCCCCCCTTGAAAGTCTGTTTTAATTGTCTAATTGCCACCGTGCTTGTCAAAGCCAGTTCTGATTAATCTCCTTTGTCAGTGTATCCTTTGCCATTCCCTATCACTCCTCTCTGAGAGAGACTTCACCCTGATTCATAAGGAAAAGGGGATGGCGTATTGTCTTAGCTACTTCCTGCTGAAAAGGGACGCTGTAGGTTTCAGGGTGAAGATCTTCTCTCACTACTCTAAAGGGCCCCTTTGACAATAGCAAACACATAGACTATTATGGAGATTGATTTTGGAATTTAGATGCACTGTTATCAATTGTGCTTAGCCGTACGTGTTCATATCCTTGAAGATGTATCATGGAAGTGTTGCAGCCTAGAAGGTACAAATTTAACTAACAAGTTAAAAGCACATGAGTCAAAAATTAAAAAGCAATAATATTCCAAGTAGAGGCTCTAATAGTGGCACAAATCAAGTTACAGAGGGAAGTTAGTTATTAAAATAAAATCACATTTCTTAAAATGTCACACATTCTTAGAGGGTTGAATGTTTGTAGATCCCAGTGTCTAATACAAATATAACAAAACCAGAAAGCTTTTCATTTCAGAGGACTTTTCTTCACATTAGGCAATAATAATTGGGTGTTTAGGAAGCAAGTGAGTTCCTCTTTAAAACAAATTAATATCTATATCTATCTATCTACGTACCTATTTTCTTTCTCTGTCATTCTTCAATCACTCTTCCAATTATTTAAATTTTAATAAACAATCTGACAGACATCCAATACTTGAATGAAATATGAAACCCTCATTCACTGATGTCAACGTTTTTATAAATGGTCAAAATTTTATAGATTGACATATCTGAATATTTAAACATTTGTTTTAGTATAAGATAGGCATAACTTTGCTTCTTATTATGGCTTTTTACTATATAAAGCTAAAAAGTTCTGTAAACATAAAATATTGGCTATTTTTAAAAAGATATGTTAAGTTACATTAGAATTAAAAAGTAAATGGAGATTCTACAAAAAAGATTAAAAGCAATAAAGTTGTAGTATTTTATTAACATGACCTTAAACATCTGTGGGCAGATGCATCTCTAGCAATCAAACAATGATTAAAAAAACACTCTAAGTTATAGATTCAAAAGTCATGGTATCTAAGTGCTAAAAGTAATAAAATACCATGAGAAATATGTTGAAAAGATCAGAAGGATAGAATTCAGAGGTAGAATTGTAAAGCTTAAATATATCAAGAGAAAATCACATTGATTAGGGGTATACTTACTCTTCTATTTCAAAGAGAAGTGTAAATACATTCCATAATAATGGAAAAATGTTAAGTGTAGTGAAGGGGTCATTACAGTGGTAGTGACCATTTATAAATAAAGCTATACTTAATAAAGTAATGTATGGAGTGAACCACCAACAATAACCAATCATAAGAGGTGCGCGGTTTGAATTCATCAGATGTTCTGCCGAAGAAGGAGGGACAATCTCCTCCTGTACCAGTCAGATCTCATTTGACGGTACATGTACACACACGAATAATAATAAAATAAAAAAAAACAAAAACAAGACAAAAGCAACAACAAAACCCCCCCATTATAAAATTGCTAAAAAGTATGCTTGAATGAATACTGCTATTAGAGTTAGATGGAATTCAGTATGAACAACTATATGTACTTTCAAGTGCAAAGTAATCTTTAAATAGGAATCCATGTAAGACAAATATAAAGGTAACTATAAATCTGTTAAAGGAACAGGGAATATTTGTTTTATACTGCAAATATTTAATGGCATAGGTAATTTGGAAATTTAAGAACAATTCTTTTAACAGCCACATAAAATAATTTAATTTTATTACATATCCCTTTCAAGATAGAATTCTTATCTGTAAAAAGTAATTTAATTCAAGATATGTTTTTAAATTCAGTGTTGAAATTCACTCTTTGATAATGAACATAAATCTATTCCTCTTCAATTTGTCATTTCCAGCATAATATGTCATACATTTGATTCAAAATGGCCAATACCAGTCTATGTTAGCTTACTAATACCTAACATTTCCATTTTTATAGATTCCATTTAATTATTTATGACTTTCCATTTTGCTGGATTCATACTTCTATTTTCCAGGTTTTAGATATTAGTGAATGTTTGCAGTTATTTCTCCTTATGGTGAGGCAAGTCATATCAGTAAACGAAGGACCTGTAATTGAAAATTTTATTCCATCCACATCTTTACATAAGAAGGCAGCTCTTCCTCAGTCACATTTTTAGTGATGCTAATCTATGGGGGTCAACTTCTAGCACTATATCCAACAATCTTTTGCATTATTCTTGGGGTTTTCAAGGGTCTGTTATCTTCAAAGTAGATGGCTAGTACTGCTTCTTGGTCTATCCGAAGCTCCATTGAAACCTGCTGAACATGGTTGTTCCTGCTATTACTTGAAATACTGGTTGCATAGTTTCCAGCACCATGATAGCATGCAAGCTACTGCCAAATATCAAACAAGCGGTAGTTAGAGTCCAAAATTGTAAATAATTTAGAAGAAATAGTTTAAAATTATGTAGCTATGTTGCATATATTGGATGCATGTTGCTCTACTTCCTTTTAATGCTGTTTGGATAATGTTAAGATTTTTAATAATCCATAACTTTGTGTAAAGACTCACTCCCAAGATCCAGAAAACAAATGTTTTTCATTCCAGATAGAGCCCACATGGATGTTATTTTCCATGAGAAAGTCATTCTAAACTCAGATCTGAAGTAAATAACCTTTAGTGATTGGCTTATGAAATAATCATTTATCAACTGTTTTAAGGAGTTTTAGTCCAGATTGATACTTTTGAAATATGCAATGAAAAATATGAGTGGTTGTAATCATTCACTCACTCACTTATTCACTCATTGCTGTCGAGTCAGAACAATTTAATGGTTGCTCCTCCCCTAGGTATCAGAGAAGGTAAAATACATAGGACAAGATAGTCCATCTTTCTCCCCAAAACAACGGATGAATTCCAATTTCCAGAGAGGTATGAAGTTTAGGTTAGCTACCCTTTAATTGTTATAACAAGGCCTTATTAAGGAAAAATACATGCACTTAAAATTACATTTCCTAGAAAATCTTAGAAGCATGCTAAAGACAAAATGACAAAGCAAGATTTATTTTTTTTTACCTATACATGGTATTGTTATATGATAACTTTCTTTAATAACTTTGATTTAGTTTCATGTTAAATAAGGGAAATTGAATACATTTTTATAGTGGTGTTATATTCATAATAAATTTGAAAAGAAGAATCACTCCAAGAGAGATGCTCTAAAATTAATTTAAGGAAAAGCTGATAAATATTATCTTTTGGGGAAAAAATAGACAAGTGACTTTTCTCTGTCTTTGGAAATATCTAGACAAATTTGTTCATATGTAAATTGTAGCTATATTATTATTTCAGTACTTCAACTTTCTAATACAATAATATTTCAGCAGTAATCATGGTTTCTGGTATAAAAGTAATTTTAAATAATTTGTTGATATTAATGTGATGAAATAAATATTCACTAGAAAGTTCACGTATTTGCTTTTTGAAGAAAAGGTATACATTCAAATCTAAGAATAAATGTGTTTATTTGGAGTCATTTAGAAAGTTGAACAAATCAAATCCTTAATCAGAAAAAGAATTATATTAGAGTTTAGACTCTAGAACACATAGTTTGTGGAAAGCTGAAGGTTGCAATAAAGGGTTTTCCCCCTTTTTTAATTAATTTTAATGAAATTTTACAGAGACTTTGGATTTCCATTCATTCAATCATTCATTGTTACATTTTTCTTCCTGCCCTCCTCCCCCCAGTTGCTCTTATTTTTCAAAAGTTAAAAATAAAAATTCATTGTTATACAATCCCTCCGCCCAGTCCACTCCACTTTGCCGCCTTCATTCTGGACTCCTGTCATGACAATAATATCTAATCATATGTCCCTTTTTAAACAGTTCTCTCCTTCATCTGTGCCAATGCATTATACATTATTTATCCCCTCTTCTTAGTTTCCCCCCAAGGCTGATGTCAGTCCCGCTGTACAACAGTGTCACTATATAGTATTTGGCCTTTTGTGACCAAGATATTTCACTCAGCATAACGTCCTCCAGGGTCATCCATTTTGTATAATAATTCATGAGTTCCTTGTTTTTCAATGTCATAAAGTTTTAACTCCATTGTGATTCTTGACCTCGGCTCAGATATCATCTAAACTTCTTCAAGACCTGAGTCTGCCCTGTGGCTTTGTCCTCAGGGAAAGTAATGTAATCACTTTGGCTGTGTTCAGCCAAACCAGCTTGAGGGGAAGCAATTACTTACCTAGGGATGTTATTGATGGTTCCCCTAACTCATACTTCTGACTTCCACACAGTTAGGCAGTAGGTGGGAACCTCAGACCCAAGCCTGTATACTTTTAATTTTAAATTGTGTAGGTAGCTCAATCAAGGTTTTTCATCCACAAAAGTAAATTCATCACTTATAGAATAAAAAAAAATACAATAACTTATAAAATAAAAAGATAGACATGATTTGATGGAGCTCTGCCAGAGTCATTCTTTATGAGTTGATTTATCTTTTGTCTTCTGTTTATGTCTTACAGACAATGTTCAAATTTTAAGACATTACTATTCCTGGAATAGTCTTCAACTTTCTGTACCCTATTTTCTGTGTGTGGATGATCTGTGCATTGCCCTGTTTTGTTATTTTTGACATCTTTCTATTTTCCTTACCACTTTCTACTGCAGATGAAATAAATTGATGACAATGGCACAAAATAATAAAAGTCATCCAGATGAATTCATCCTCCTAGGCTTTGCTGACTATCCTTGGCTGGAGCTGCCTCTCTTTATTATTCTTCTGATCATATACCCTATGACCATAACGGGAAACATTGCCATCATCCTGGTATCCAAGCTGGACCCCAGACTCCACAGCCCCATGTATTTTTTCCTCACCAACCTCTCCTTTCTGGACATGTGTTATATTACAAGCATTGTCCCTCAGCTGCTGGTTAACCTAGGAAGCTCCAAAAAGACCATCAGCTATTTGGGCTGTGTAGTTCAACTTTATTTTTTCCAGTGGATGGGGAGTACAGAATGTCTGCTCCTAGCTCTCATGTCCTTGGATCGCTACATGGCTATCTGCAGGCCTCTACACTACACTATCATTATGAACCAACGAACTTGCTTCCTACTAGTTTCCATTGTGTGGCTGAGTGCAATAACTGTTGTTGTCTCACAGGGCACAGTAACATTACAACTTCCTCTCTGTGGTATCAGCCAGCTAGATCATTTCTTGTGTGAGATTCCTGTTCTGCTAAAGATTGCTTGTGGTGAAAAGCATGCTGTTGAGCTCATGCTCTCAGTAATATGCACTTTTCTTATGGCTATTCCACTTTGCTTAATTCTTATTTCATATATTTGTATTGGGCAAGCTGTACTGAAGATTAAGTCTTCTGAGGGAAGAAAAAAGGCTTTTGGGACATGTTCTTCTCACCTTATTGTTGTTCTTTTATTTTATGGCCCAGCTATTAGCATGTACCTTCTGCCTCCTTCCTCCATCGCAAGGGACCAGCCCAAGTTCATGGCTCTCTTTTATGCAGTGGTAACACCTACACTCAACCCCTTCATCTACACACTTAGAAATAAGGATGTGAAGGGAGCATTAGGCAACCTCATAAGGAATATTTTTGGTTCCAAGTGAAAGATGGTAGATAGTAAATGAAAGTATTTAATGAAAAAAAAATGGGCTCATAGAAAATTTTCTCTACTAATGCTGTTTGGTTTATACTTCCCTACCATGTCTTTAAGATTATGTTATTATTTGTTGTTAGGTGCCATTAAGTCCAGTATGACTCATAGAAATTCTTTGAACAGCAAACCTATCCTTTGCCATCCTTACCATCTCTGAAACACTCAAGTCAATTGCTGAAGTTACCAATGTAAAACCATCTTACTGGGGTCTTCCACTCCTTCACTGACTGCCCTCCCCCCATATTTCCAAGCATGATATCCCTCTCCAATGAATAGCTTTACCTAGTTACATGTCCTAAGTCTGAAAGATGAATACTCTGCTTCTTTGCCTCCAAGGAACACTCCAGATTCCCCTGCTCCAAGACATATCTGTTTGTTCTCTTGGCAGTCCATGGTATATTCAACACTCTTCTTCAGCACCACAACTTCTTTTGTCATCCTTATTTATTGTCCGGATTTCTGATGTGTAGCAAGTGATTCAGAAGACCAGAGCCTAAATTAATCCCACCCTTTGTCTTCAAACTGACATCATTACTTTTCTGTACTCTGGAGAGGTCCCTGATAGTGGGCTTAGCAATACATCTCTTGATTTCCTGACTGCTGGCGCTAAGGGTGTTTATTGTTGATACAAGGAAGAGAAAATCATTGAAAGTTTCAATCCTTTCTCATAATACTGACTGTTGGTCCTGTAGTAAGGACTTTCATTTTCTTAGAGGTTGAGATGCAAACCATACTGAAGTCCCATACTGAAGTCCTTGATCTTCTGTAGCAAGTGCCTCAAGTCCTCTTCAATTTCAGCAAGCAAAGTTGTGTCATTTGCAGGTTATTGGTGAGTCTTCCTCCAATGCTGGTGTCACATTCTTCCTTATAAGGTCTGGATTCTCGAATTATTTGCTCAGCATACAGGTTGAATGTTGTTGTTAATTTTCTTCAAGTCGACCACGACTCATAGAGACTCCTATGAACAAAAGGCCTGAAGCCCCTCTACAACTATCGACATTTATCAAAGTTGATAGAGTTTCTGGAGGCATGTTCTTTAGGAAGTGAATGCCACTCCTGCTTCCAAACAGGTTGAATAGGTAAGGATAAAGATTGCAACACTAGCACAATCCTTTCTTGATTTTAAACCATGCAGTTTCCCCTCATTCCATTCACACAACAGCCTCTTGGCCTAGGTATAGGTTTTGCATGCATACAATTAAAGTCTTCTGGAATTATGATCCACACAGTCAAAAATGCATTTGCATAGTCAACAAAGCACAAATAGACATTCTTCTGATATTCTTCATTCCCAAATATACCATGTCTGATATACTTTTCTTCTAATTGTTATTTCTTTAGAAAGACACTACTGAACATTTCAGCAATTTTTGCTTGATGTTCCTTGCATTTATCATACTGATCAGTCATCATTAGTTTCTGTTTTCCAATTTTCATAACTCTTAACAGAAATTCAATATTTCCTAGGTAATTTCATTATTTCCTCCATTCTCTTTAATTCTTGATTTTGTTTTTGTTGTTAGGTGCTGTCAAGTCGTGTAAGACTCATGGTAACCCTAAGAACAACGTATCTGAACACTGCCCTATCCTGTGTCATCCTCACAGTTTCTACTATCCACTAATTTATTTTGATCTCTGTACATATTTTTGATATCTCAGGTGATACAATAGAATATTTGTCTAATTACTACTGATTTATTTCACTGTCATAACTTTTCCATTTGTAAGATGTAGTAGGACATAATTGTGCTCTATGATTGACTAATGTCCTGTTGTACTAATACGACACACTTTGTTTACTATTTGTTTATCAGTATTTTAGATCATTTCCACCTTTCCCCCAATATGAATAGTGTTATAATGTTTGTTGCAGAAGATGAAGGAATGCAGCCTTTGGTATAGATTGCATCTCAATATCAAAAAAACAAATAAGCAGTGTCATGATGGATGGAGAGGAGGTTGAAACTGTCAACAGCTTTATCTTACTTGGATCTATAATTGACACCCTCAGTATGAGCAGTAAGGAAATAAGGAGATGCATTGCAGTGGGAAAAATCTGCATTTAGGGACCTTTTCATATTATTGAGGAGTAGTGATGTCAGCTTAAGGATTTAGGTGCCTCTGATTCACACCATAGTCTTTCTGATTACTAGCTATGCATCTGAGACCTGGACAATGAATAACCATGATAGAAAAATGATGGAAACCTTGGAGCTATGGGGTTGGAGAAGAGCACTGAACATCTCATGTACAGCCAAGAGAATAAACAGTTATGCCTTGGAGATGGTGCAGCTGGAGTGCTCTTTGGAGGCAAGAATGATAAGGCTTCACCTCACATACTTTGGACATGTTTCTAGGAGCTGCTTCTCCATTCCTTGGAGAAGGAATGATGTTGGGAAGGGTGGAGGGTCTGTGAAGGAGAGGAAGACCCTCAACCAGGTGGATTGATGTGGCATTTGCCACAATGGACTCTTGTGTGTCAGGAAGTGTGAGGACAGCCCAGGACAGAACAGGGTTCAGATCTTTTGTTTATAGGGCTGTTATGAGTCATGCTCGACTCAATAGCACATAACAAAAAGAACAAAAACATAGTGAACATTGATGAAAAAGTACCTGTTTGCATTCCTATTTTTATTTCTTTTGTGTGGGGACACTAGTGGAATTGTTTCTATTTTGATGATGGTTTTAGGCAAGGTTGATAAGCACTGCTTGATAAATACCAGTATGGACATTTTGTTTGTAAAAACACATTTGACTTGTAATATGATATTAACTGTTTTAAGTAATGTGCTGTCTGTGTGTATATGAATCTTAAATCTCATATGTGTGAAATATAAAATGTATAACATGACTGTTGGTGTTGTTGTTGTTATGGCCATCGAGTCACTTGTGACTCACAGTGACCCTATGTACAATAGCTCTAAACCCTGTTCTGTCCTGTGCCAATCTCACTGTCCCTGACACACCTACCCTGATTACCCCAGTCACTGAATCAATCCCATTACCTACGCTAAATTGTAAACAAATGAAAAGTGACAAACAACTCCACCGTAGAACAATTTCTAGTATTATAATTAACTCTCTTATTATTGTGCCATGGTGTGACATGACTTTCAATTTGTGTATTTTAGATACCCTGAGCCCCTGTTTATAAATCATATTGATGACATGTGAACTAGACAGGCCCTGATAGACCCTTAGCAGACAATAGCAAAAGTTTTAAATGACATATAAAGCTATAATTTATTTTTCTGCCAAGGGTAATAAGCTAGAGTCATTAAGTCTTTGTCAATAGATGTTACTCCTCCAAGACTGAGATGCTATTGAATATCTGTCTGTCATTGTCATTAACCTAAAACTTCAGATATGAGAGATATCCCCTGGGGACTATTCATTAAAGGAAAATAAAAGCTTAAATGTTGAAGACTTGATTTTAATTGAGGGTAGGTTTGCAAGAGACAGTGAGATTGGCTCAGGATAGAGCAGAGTTCAGGCACAAGGTCACTATGAATAGTAGTCAACTCAATGGCACATAACAACAACAACAACGTTACCCTACCCTACACAAATTCTTTGTCTGAATTTATATCTTGGGATTTTACCTAAGAGTTATACAATGACTACGCTGCAAATAAATGAGTTTATGAATGGTAAATCTGATAATGTTTTACATAATTTATAATAACATTCCAATTGGAAACTTTGCTATATCTGTGTCTTATTAACTAGCATGAAGTTCAGTTTGACTTTGCTTCATTCATTAATGTGAAAAAACACTTTTTATTAGTAGAAGATTTAAGTGTAGATTTTAAATTGATTCACTGTTAAGTTTTGACTTATATTTCTCAGTTTTGACTTAAACCTCTCACATGGCATATTAATAAATATGTTAATATATATGTAATTTATTTATAAATTTATCACTATATGCTTATGACTTTATATAAAACTCTCACTATGTGGTCAGTGTGCCATCTCTCTATATTTGTTATTACCATGTTATTTAGAAGACTGGCACTTTGTGTTTCTATTATTACTTTTATAAAAATGTCATCTATATCTATTTATTTTTATAAGACTACCTTAAAGGTAAACAATCCAATTGAAAAATGGGCATAGGATATGAAGATACTTCACCAAAAAAGACATTCAGATGACAAACAAACACATGAAGAAATGTTCAAAATCTCTAGCTCTAAGGGAGATGCAAATCAAAACACTATGAGATATCATCTCACCTCAGTAAGAGTAGCAAAATTTAACAGGACAGCAGACAACAAATGTTGACGAGGTTGTGGAGAAACTGGAACACTTATAAACTGTTGGTGGGAGTGTAAGTGGTACAACTACTATGAAAGGGTATGGAACCTTATCAAAAAGTTGGAAATAGAAATACCATTTGACCCAGTAATTCCACTACTGGGAATATACACCAAAGAAACCATAATCGCCCCCAAAACAGATATATGTACACCCATGTTTATTGCAGCTTTATTCACAGTAGCAAAAAGCTGGAAATACCCTAAATGCCTATCAACAAACGAATGGATAGAGAAGCTGTGGTATATTCACACAATGGAATACTATGCTGCATTGAAAAACAAGGAACTCATGAAATATTATTAAAAACTGGTGACCCTGGAGGACATTATGCTGAGAGAAATGTCAAAGAAAAGGACAAATACTGCCTGGTGCCACTGTTGTAAAACAGGACTGATATTGGTGTTGGGGAGAGATTGAGGAAGATGGAATAAATAATGTATACTGCACTGAAACAGATGAGAGAGAGAACTGTTTAAAAGGGATATGTGGTTAGATATAATTGTCATGACAGGAGTCCAGAGAGAAGGCTGCATAGTGGAGTGGACCTGGGGGGAGGGATTGTAAAACAATGTGGGGAACTTTTACTTTTCAAAGAGAAGAGTGTACTGGGGGGGGTGAGTAGGGAGA